ACATCCTGAGGAGTGAGGTTGAATGGGCCTTAAGAAGCATTGCTAACAACAAGGCAGCAGGAGACGACGGGATCCCAGCTGAACTGTTTAAAATCTTAAAAGATGATGCTGTCAAGGTGATGCATGCCATATGCCAGCAATATGGAAAACACAAGAATGGCCATCAGACTGGAAAAAATCAACTTATATCCCCATACCAAAAAAGGGAAATGCGAAAGACTGCTCAAACTTCCGTACAGTGGCCCTTATTTCTCATGCCAGTAAGGTAATGCTCAAGATCCTGCAAGGAAGACTCCAGCAATACATGGAGCAAGAGTTGCCAGATGTTCAAGCTGGGTTTAGAAAAGGCAGAGGAACGAGAGACCAGATTGCCAATATCCGCTGGATAATGGAGAAAGGCAGGGAGTTTCAGAAAAACATCTATTTCTGCTTCATTGACTATTCTAAAGCCTTTGACTGTGTGGATCATAATAAATTGTGGCAAGTTCTTGGTGGGATGGGCATCCCAAGCCACCTGTCTGTCTCCTGAGGAATCTGTACAAGGACCAAGTAGCAACAGTCAGAACTGACCACGGAACAACAGACTGGTTCAAGATTGGGAAAGGCGTACGGCAAGGCTGCATCCTCTCACCCAACCTTTTTAACTTGTATGCAGAACACATCATGCGATGTGCGGGGCTTGATGAATGCAAGGCTGGGGTGAAAATTGCTGGAAGACACATTAACAACCTCAGATATGCAGATGACACCACCCTGATGGCCGAAAGCGAGGAGGAGCTGAGGAGCCTTCTAATCAAGGTGAAAGAAGAAAGCGCAAAAGCCGGGTTGCAGCTAAACGTCAAAAAAACCAAGATTATGGCAACAAGAATGATTGACAACTGGAAAATAGAGGGAGAAACCGTGGAGGCCGTGACAGACTTTGTATTTCTAGGTGCAAAGATTACTGCAGATGCAGACTGTAGCCAGGAAATCAGAAGACGCTTACTTCTTGGGAGGAGAGCAATGTCCAGTCTCGACAAAATAGTGAAGAGTAGAGACATCAGACTGGCAACAAAGATCCGCCTAGTCAAAGCCATGGTATTCCCTGTAGTCACCTACGGATGTGAGAGCTGGACCTTAGGGAAGGCTGAGCGAAGGAAGATCGATGCTTTTGAGCTGTGGTGTTGGAGGAAAGTGCTGAGAGTGCCTTGGACTGCGAGAAGATCCAAACAGTCCATCCTCCAGGAAATAAAGCCCGACTGCTCACTGGAGGGAAGGATACTAGAGACAAAGTTGAAGTACTTTGGCCACATCATGAGGAGACAGGAAAGCCTAGAGAAGACAATTATGCTGGGGAAAATGGAAGGCAAAAGGAAGAGGGGCCGACCAAGGGCAAGATGGATGGATGGCATCCTTGAAGTGACTGGACTGACCTTGAGGGAGCTGGGGGTGGTAACGGCCGACAGGGAGCTCTGGCGTGGGCTGGTCCATGAGGTCACGAAGAGTCGGAGACGACTGAACGAATGAACAACAACAACACCCGCAGAATTAGAAAACTTACATTTTGAATTTCAACATCCAGAATTACATGGCTAGGAGAGTTTGAGAGCTATAGTTTAAACCTCTGGTTGATGGTGATGATGATGATGATGAAGAGGAGGAGGAGGAGGAGGAGGAGGAGAGAGAACTGTAAACAAGCAAGCTTGTTTTCTGCTTCCCTGGAGACTAGGACGCGGAACAATGGCTTCAAACTACAAGAGAGGAGATTCCATCTGAACATGAGGAAGAACTTCCTGACTGTGAGAGCCGTTCAGCAGTGGAACTCTCTGCCCTGGAGTGTGGTGGAGGCTCCTTCTTTGGAAGCTTTTAAACAGAGGCTGGATGGCCATCTGTCAGGGGTGATTGAAATGCAATATTCCTGCTTCTTGGCAGGGGGTTGGACTGGATGGCCCATGAGGTCTCTTCCAACTTTTTGATTCTATGATTCTATGATTCTATACCCACATTTCTCTAGAGTTGGGCTCCAGTAACTCCCAGTCTGCATCAGGAGAACTTGGGGGCACTTTGGCTAAAAACATGCATTGACTAGTCGTCAGTTCACAATTTGGAGCATGTATTTCATATGACGTTCACCTTGTACTGAAAATGTGTACATTTAGTCACATTTTCCCTGTCAAAATGGCACAACATTTGCCCAGTGACACTCGACACCTGTGTTCTTGAGCATTGTGTGGGCATCCTTGCCAAGGAGCCCTGAGTGCCATCATGCTAAAGCCCAAGCAGGAAATGTGGCAGACTGCCCTAGCAGCAGGCTGCACTGAGCACGTGCATAAACGAATGAGACGCTGCTTAATGCTTAATCACTGTCAACCATTGTTCTTGTTAAAGACTTGATTGTTGGCCAAGGCGGGTAACAAGGCACGGTTTCCTAGCACTGTTGCTAGGAGAGATTGTGAGAGCTGATCCACAGTCCAAGAAAAGACACAATTCACTGGGCTCTTGAAGTCAAGCAACGTTATTGCTTGTCCTCACAAGAGACTCTGCAAAATGTATATATCTGAGCAACAGGAGTAAAGTATGGGCTTTGATTGCTGTTATTTTTCTTAACATATATTAAGGATGGATGAATCAGTCTACTGCCATCACGTGAGGGGACAGTTGGGGACACTGATCCAAGGGGGTGGCACCCAAATGACTGTCTTGTTTGTACAATGAATGTTTGCATACATGCATTACATTAGCATACATTTGTTACTTTTATAAAGACATCCCTCTAGTTAGATATATCCACAAAAAATATTTTTCATAAGACCATCTCATATGTACTATCATCGTCATCTTGATAGGGTATCACTCGTGACCAAGTATAATTGTCTTCCAAGAGTACAGTCTTGGCGGTGGATCTGTAGATCTGTAGAGATCTATTCTGGATTCACATGGTCTTTTGCAGTGAGGACATATATTTCCAGATGGAAGGTGGTGCCAACAAAGATTTGCTTGATGTGCCTTCCTCTTAGCATGTTTCTCCCTTTTGCCCGCTATTTGTGCCTTTTTAAAATCCATAGCACTGTTGGTCATGGGTGACCTCTATTTAGAGCACTCAAGGGCCACGGATTCTCAGTTTTTTCAGAAATAGATTGAATGGTAGAAAAGACAAAACCATTCAAATTTGGCTATGCTCTCAGTCCCACCATCATCACAGTTGCATTTGGTGGTGACGAGAGACAGGGCTTCTCCGTGGTGGCCCCTTGGCTGTGGAATTTCCTCCCTGATGAGGTTAGATCCGCTCCCTCCCTTCTGACCTTCCAGAAGAAACTTAAATCCTGGTTATGGGAACAAGTGTTCACAGAATAGTTGTTTTATTGGGAAGACAAGAATTTATTGGACTGTACTTGGACTGTTTTGGATGACGATTTTAATATGGTGATTTTAATCCGGCGAACTAGTTCTAATGTGTGTGTGTATATATGTATGTGTGTGTGTGTGTGTGTGTGTGTGTGTGTGTGTGTGTGTATAACTATTTTAATGTATATGGATGTATATATTACGTGTTTTATATCAAGCTTGGCATTGAATTGTTTCCTGTTTTGAAGTCATTCTGAGTCCCTCCTCGGAGGTTGAGGACAGGGAATAAATACCTGAAATAAATAAATAATAAAGAAATACATCCGGTGATTGTCTTAGAAATACCGTGGATTGGATACTACACATTCAGCTATGCTTATAGTACTGAATTAAAGTTGCTTCTACATCCTCGGTTCTGTTAGCCTTCTCTTATTTAATATCCACATGACAGGTAGGTCTCTCCTATACATAGGGTAGATATACCTATTGCCAGAGTTAGGAACAATTCTACTACATGGACTGCTTTGTTGTTCTCTGTCGCTCTCGTTGCTGCAACATAATCACGCTGATTTCTACTTGTTGTTAGGAAAGCTTCCCAAATGGTTCCCAGGCAACCAATTACTTTTTTTTTTTTTGTATTTCTACAAAGAGTTTGCTAGAGAGCCGAGGTTTGCCACAGCAGCCACAGGATTGTGATTTGTCCCAAATGTATAGATTTCGTCTGCCAGGTTTTTGCAGAAGTCATCTCACTGCACAAGGCAGAAGATTGTGGATTCTCATTGACCCATCAGAAGGTTGAGAAGGGGTGCTTTCTGGTTTTGCATATGTGTGTCTTTGTTAGACTTATTTTCCTCAACTGTTATCCTTCACCTTTTTTTGTATGCCATTTCTAGGATCAACACTCCATCCTTGGCCAAAGTACAGCCTCCAGCCCAAGTTCTGGCACTTGTACAAATCCAAATGCTGGAAGCAGTTACATGAATTCACCCCAGCAAGCGTTGCTAAACCAGCAGCTGAAACAACAACTTCTCTTACAGCAGCAGCAGCAGCAGCAGCAACAACAACAGCAACAACAACAACAGATATTAACAGAAGCAGTAAGTTTTCCAGTGTTCTGTTTCTAATGTCCCTGCTGTGCCGAAACACACACAATCAAGGCATTCCTGACAGATGGCCATCAGTCTCTACTTAGATGGCCATCAGTCTCTACCTCTCAAGATGGGGAGCAATATTCCATTGTCAAATAGCCCTTACTTTCGGGAAGTTCTTCCTAATGTTTAGGTGGAATCTCTTTTCGTGTACAGTCAGCCCTCTGTACACAGATTCTATCCATGGGTTTCAACTGTACATGACTTGAAAATATTCCTCCATATAATCCAAACGTAAACGTTGGTTTTCCTATTTTATATAAGGAACTTCACTTTAATATGCTGTTCTATATTACAGAAGCTGGCGCAGTGGGTTAAACCACTAAGCTGCTGAGCTTGTTGACTGAAAGGTCACAGGTATGAATTCAGGGAGTGGTGTGAGCTTCCGCTGTCAGCCCCAGCTTCTGCCCACCTAGCAGTTCGAAAACATGCAAATATGAGTAGAATAATAGATACCACTCCAGCGGGAATGTAATGGCGCTCCATGCAGTCATGCCAGCCACATGACCTTGGAGGTGTCTATGGACAATGCCGGCTCTTCGGCTTATAAATGGAGATGAGCACCAACCCCCAGAGTCGGACACAACTGGACTTAATGTCAGGGGAAAACCTTTACCTTTTAACCTATATTACAGAACTTGAACATTTGCCCAATTTGGTAAGCATAATGGGTGGAGGGCTGGAACCAAAGCTCAACAGATAGCAAGAATCCGCTGTAGTTCCATTCCATTGCTCTCTGTGCTAGTCTTTAGAGCAGCAGAAAACAAATTTGATCCATCTTCAATGTGGCATCCTTTCAAATATTTAGACATGGCTATTGTGTTATCCCTTAACCTTCACTTCTCCAGGCTAAGTATACCCAGCGTCCTAAGCCTTTCCTCATAAGACATTGCTTCCAGAATCATCATCCTTAACTACACCCTTGACTCAATTGGGGTTTTCACATGATACGTAAACCAGTATGTTTTCAAAAGAATAAATAAATCCAAATGTAATATCAAGAATGCCATATCTTGACATTTTAATCTTCCAAGGCATTCTAGCCCAGACACTATTGTTAGCCCCGACAGACACAGACACATTGAATACATTTTATTTATTAGTGAGCTAATACTCATGCCTTCACTCCATGGTTCACAAACTGTGTTCTGCAGAACCCTAAGGATCTGCAAAAACATCATAATGGTTCTGCAAAAAATCTTTAAAATCAAATTTAAAAACAGATTTTAAAATAAGCCACACGAGACCAAATGTTTTATTTACAGTCTTCATAGTATTTGTTTTGTACTACAACTATTGCTATCAGATATGTAGTTTACTGGCTACACATTCCAACATTTTACATATCTGTCATCTGAACAAGAGTAATTCATATGTAATCAATTTTTCATATGGATTCCATATTGGTTTTTTTCTTCCTTTCGTGTACAGTTTATATATATATATATATATATATATATATATATATTTTTTTGGTCGTATCATGAGCGACCTGAGAACTGCAAGTCGCTTCTGGTGTGAGAGAATTGGCCGTCTGCAAGGACGTTGCCCAGGGGACCCCTGGATGATTTTTGATTTTTATCATCCTTGTGGGAGGCTTCTCTCATGTCCCCGCATGAGGAGCTGGAGCTGATAGAGAGCTCATCTGCCTCTCCCTGGATTCGAACCTGCGTTCTGTCGGTCTTCATTTCTGCCGGCACAGGGGTTTAACCCACAGCGCCACCGGGGTCTCAGTTTTTTGATACTTTGGTGCATTGTTCATGAACTATCAAGAGTAAAATTTACTCAAAAACTAGATGGTACATCGGAAGTTTGGGAACATAGTTGAATTAGCGTAATATGATCCAGAATAGAGTTAGGATTCCACACAAAAAAAAGTCTTCTGAAGGGCTCCATGACCAAAAACGTTTGGGAACTATTGCCTTAGCTCACCATTAAAGCAGTTGATTCAGTGGGTCTGCTTTATTTGAGCCTAACTAAAAGAACTTAAGGCACTGTCTTTGACCGCAAAACTGCCATTATTGAATAGAAGAAGTTCAAAGAGATTCAAATGGGAAATTGCAGAGCAAGAATTTATGAAGTTCAGCTGTGTCTTCAGTGGCTCGAACAGGGCTTTGATCTATGTGGGCTTGTCTGTATTATCAACCCAACTCTTGTTTTGTTTTGTGGTGTTTTGGACAGGGGTTTTGCCTCATGGTTTTCTTATTTCTTTTCCTTCTAATGCATGCCTCTATCTCTGAGACATGAATTAGAGTCCAACAACCATTAGACAAAGACGGTTCCATGCCATTCAGATGTTAATCTACTTATCTGTGCTAGGATCTCCTAATCACCTCTCTCAAACATTGTTAAACAATTTCTGTTAACACAATCAACTGCTGTATCTTTTGCATTTCCCTTCCTCTGTAGACCTGCACACAGAAGCACACACAGCATACACGTAAATATCTGTCAACAGAGAGGATATGCCATGAAGCTAGTTTTAATTCATGAAAGCTTGTGCTAAATAAAACAAGTTAGGCTTTAAAAATACCCACAGAACTTGTAGTTTTATTTTCTTTGGGACTCACCATAGGATTCAAAAGGTCCTAGTAGGAAAGTGTCATAGCAGAACTTTGGACATCATGTAAGGATGCAAAATAATTTATTTAGTCTAGATTCTCTTGACTTGAGTTGGGCTTTCAACAATGCAAAACATAATTCAAGCACAAGGTGATGCATATTAGTGGCAGGGTACATTTGTTTAGCTCTCATTTTAACCTGGCATAAGTTAACATTTATTTATTTATTTGCTTCATTTCTATTCCACTCTTCTTTTCCCATGGGGGACTCAGAGCAGCATACATCATAGGTAAAAGGTAAAGGTTGTCCCCTGACATTAAGTCCAGTCATATCTGACTCTGGGGTGTGGTGCTCATCTCCATTTCTAAGCCGAAGAGCCAGTGTTGTCCATAGACACCTCCAAGGTCATGTGGCCGGCATGACTGCATGGAGCACTATTACCTCCCCGCCGGAGTGGTACCTATTGATTTACTCACGTTTGCATGTTTTCGAACTGCTAGGTTGGCAGAAGCTAGGGCTGACAGCAGAAGCTCACGCTGCTCCCCGGAATCGAACCTGCAACCTTTCGGTCAACAAGCTCAGCAGCTCAGCACTTTAACCCACTGTGCCACCCGGGACTCCATCATACGTCTAGGCAAAAATTCAATGCCTCATTATACATAAACAAATAAAACAATATAAAATCACTAAAATCAATAAAAGTATAAATACATATTAAACCCCTTAAACATATTAAAGCATAATAAACCCCCCAACACAACGCATTGCACCAATCCCTTAATCATAATTTGCCTGCTTCATTTCTAACTGTGTTGTGATAGGATGTTAAACTGCATTTCTGTCACTCGCCAAAGGGCTGTTTAAACAACCTGGTTTTGAATTGTTCTTGAATACCAGGTAGGAGGAGGCCAATCTAATCTCACTGAGGAGGGAGTTCCATAGCTGAGGGGCAACCACCAAAAAGGCCCTGTCTCTCGTCCCACCAATGGCACTTGCAATGGTGGTGGGACTGAGAGTAGTACCTCCCCGGCAGATCTTAGTGCACAAACTGATTCATAAAGGGAGATATGTTCAGATAGGTAAGCTGGACCTGAACCATTTAGGGTTTTATAGGCTAAAGCCAGCACTTTGAATTGTGCTCAGTAGCTAATTGGCTTCCAGCGGAGCTGACGTAACAGGGGGGTTGTATTCTCCCTGTACGCCACTCCAGTGAGCAACCTAGCTGCCATCCATTGGACTATTTGAAGCTTCTGAACAGTCTTCAAAGGCAACCCTACATAGAGCAGTTGCAGTAGCCTTCGTCTCCCTGAAATGAAGACGTGTGAATGCATACAGTTTCCTGCTCACAATGTAATTTGCACACACAAAAATGTATTCAGGAAATTTATTCATTTGAGAAATACTCACAGAAAAATTCATGCATGCTTTACTCCATAGGAAAATGTATGCCCAATTGTGTACATTTGAAAAATGCATCCAAAAATGTACATGTATTGACAATTATACCAAGAGGCATAAGTGATGAGGGCTAACAATCAGATTTTGTTATCTTGAAGTCTGAGAATAGAAAAATCTGAGTTTGACTAGTTTGCCACAGTTTGGTAAAGTTACTTTTTTGATATTTCATCCCCCGTATACTCTTCTAGCCACAGTGCTGTATTTTGGGAGCTAACTTCTCCAGACTCTCAGATAAGGACATCTTTCCCTTGAATTATCTGCAGTCTTTTGCACTGAATATATGGGGAAGTCAACTTGAAATCTTCTGCCGGTGGAGTGTGTGTTGTTTTCTCAGTGTTGTTTTCAACAGTGTGTGTTGTTTTCTCAGTGAGCAATTTCCAGCCCTTCGGTCGTGATTCCATGATATAAGTAAACAGCACAACCCATGATTGCAGATGAAGGGTGGGAGGTTTGTGCTTTCAGCCTCAGGGAAAGCAGGTTACAGGGCAGCCAAGCTGTGCAGATAACACCAGGCAGTTCCCACTTCTTCCTGCGCAGCTGCTTCCAGGGCAAGAAAGGACCACCCGGGTAGAGTCCCTGTATACCTTCAGGCGACACTCACTTTCCCACCGGGAAACCTCTTTGCGTTGGGAGTGCAGAGCCAGGCAGAAAGGCATTCCCTTTTGCAGGGAGAACAGACACACTTTAACAGTTTACTAAGACAGATAGCAAGGAAGGAAAACAAAGGATTAGCAATGTTTATGTTACTGACATTCATCATAGGCATCATGTGGCTAAAATGGCAGTTCCCTTAAAGTTCTGACTACAACCTAAAACAGATTCATCACCCATATATCTGGTCTATCCATCTCAACACCTATCCTCATCAGAGTATATCATACAGTTCCCCAATGCCTTACCCAGTACAATAGAGTAACACCATGAGGGATACATTCCTAGCCAGACCATAGTTACATGAGCCTTAGATATGCACAAACCCCATTTAATTATCTCGCTTCCAGTCCAGCATAACATAAGGCTGGGTTGGAATTAGGCCACTTCTACATTGCCATATAAAATCCAGATTATCTGCTTTGAACTGGATTATGTGGCAGTGTAAACTAAGATAATCCAGTTCAAATCAGATAATATGGATTATTTGCCTTGTTAATCTGGATTATATGGGAGTGTAGAAGGGACCTTAGGAATTCCTAGAGAAGTATCTTATGTCCTCCAAAACAACTGGTAACTTCTGGTGAGTGTAACATAGCAATTGGCTGGAGGACTTAGCAAATTCCTATAGAGACCATTTTTCCTCTAGGCTCAGGTTCTGTGTTTATATGGGTCTTGTACAAGTTTATTGTACAAGAAACTGCAGCATCAGTACAGGCTTTTCTTACTTTAGAAATGTCCATTCAGACATCTGATATCCCTTCCATTGTTAGGGCACCACAACCAAAATCAGAATAATCTCTCCAAGAAAATGTTAACCCTTACACCATCATTCCCAAGCCAGGGCCTGTCAAGCATGTTGGGTTCAGTTCACATCATGCCCCAGTCAGCATTCCCCTTAGATTTCTAGCAGGGATTAATGGGAACTGCAATAATAATAATAATAATAATAATAATAATAATAATAACAACAACAACAACAACAACAACAACAACAACAACAACAACGTTTATTTGTACCCCACCATCATCTCCCCAAAGGGACTCAGGGCAGCTAGTAAAGCACTCAAAGTGCCACACATAAAATAGAATTACATATCATCAAAACAATACATAGGGTTGTTGTAGGTTTATTCGGGCTATATGGCCATGTTCTAAAGGCATTTTCTCCTGACGTTTCGCCTGCATCTATACATAATTTGACTGAATACATAATTTGACTGAATACAAACAATGGACAACGTCAATCGATAATTTAAAAAAATGTAAAGCACAGTCATACCTGTGAGTCATTGGGTTTCTTCCAACACGAACTAAAGTGCCTAATAACAATGGTCGACATCATCACATGCCCATAGCACATTACTCCAGGTCAAAGGCCCATGTAAATACCCATGTTTTTAGGTTTGAATGGAAGGTTTGGAGAATTGGGGCTAATCTAATCTCTCTAGGGAGGGCATTCCAGAGCTGGGGAGCCACCATCGAGAAGGCCCTCTCTCTCGTCCCCACCAACTGCACCTGCCCTAAACATCTAGGGGTGCCAAGCTGGAGAAGGATGCTTTACTTGCTATGGGATCCTTCCTAGTCCTTTCCTTTAGACTGGTCCATGCAATGATGGACATGCCCATAGTACATTACGTCAGGTCAAAGGCCCATGTAAATAGCCATGTTTTTAGTCTCGAATGGAAGGTTTGGAGATTTGGGGCTAATCTAATCTCTCTAGGGAGGGCATTCCAAAGCTGGGGAGCCACCATCAAGAGGCCTTCTCTCTCATCCCCATCAACTGCACCTGCCCTAAACATCTAGGGGTGCCAAGCTGGAGAAGGGTGCTTTACTTGCTGTGGGATCCTTCCTAGTCCTCTTCTTTAGATTGGTCCATGCAATGACTTCCATAGAATGAACCAAAACAAGCTGTTTCACTCTCTTGTTTGTTCTGCTCCCATAGGAGAAGATAACTCCTCAGGACCAGTTGAATCGGCACCTTGCGAGGCCACCACCGGACTACAAAGACCAAAGAAGGAATCAAGTCAACATACAGCAAACCCACCAATATTCCAGTAAGCGTACTTAAACACAAAGATCTGGATCTGAAAGATGGAATGGTTTTGAGGTTCTGAAATGGAGCTCAATTCTTGCCCTCTCTTAGAGTTTCTGTGTGTGGTTTTTCTTTTATCCTTTTTCCTGTCTCCTTGGTCCCATCTTCCATCAATTTCTCCCTTCTCTCAATTCCCCTTCCTCTTAATTTCCCCTTCACTGTAGTCTATGTCAAGTACAAAAGTCTTCTTGTCCCTTGAACCCCTGTGAAGATCCCCCTGCCCCAGAAAAACCAGCTCCACTTTCTTCATAGACGATGCATTGATTTTTTTTTCTACATCACTTGATTGACCTTCCTTCCTCAGCTCTTAAAATGTCTATGAACACTCTGTGGCATCACAGTAGCTCAACTTGAAAGGGATGACTCACAGATTTTGAGCCTACTGAATGTATAGAGAAGCCATGAGATCAATTATAGTGGATTTAAAAATAGGAGTCTATCTCATTCAGCTGGAATGTATCTAGTGGCTGACAGTTGAAGTATTTGTCCAGAGAAGAGAGACAAGTAAAATGCAATACATCTTGAGTTAACTCCATGTCACTCAGCTTAAAAATAAGTGCACAACGTTGAGTTGCAAAGAAGCCAAAATTTTCAGAGATCCCATAATATTAAATGTAGGTCAACTATATAACCACAACTATGAAGCTCCATCATTGTAACTACATCTTGTGATGCCACTAAAAAACTACCCTTTCAGCTAGGGAGCACCCCAATCAAAGGCATTGCAGATCAGGCATAGATGATTTACATAACTCTGAGGTAGGTGATGAAGACATTGAAATAGTTCAAGGTTTTCCATTCCTTGGATCAATCAGAATGGAGGTTGATTGATCCAAGTCAGAAAACCTATCAAAAACTCAGACAACTAGGATTTGGAAAGACAGCTTATAAGGTAACTAGACAAGATCCTGAAGTGTAATTATGTATAACTGAATACATTATTAAATATTAGATGACCAAGCCATCATATGTCTCATTTCTGCATATGATTGTAAAAGCTGGACAGTGAATGAAGCCAATAGGAAGAGTATCAATTCGTTTGAGATGCGGAGTTCTGGGATACCATGTATTTACTGAAAAGACAAATTAATGCATCCTAGAGCAGTGTTTCTCAACCTGGGAGTCGGGATCCCTGGGGAGGGCGGTGAGAAGGGTTTCAGAGGGGTCGCCAAAGACCATTATAAACAGAAAGCTGAAGATCTCCCTGCCTGTCCTTCTCTTCCTTTTTGGTGTTGGTGAACTACAACTTCCGGAATTCAAAAACAGCCTCCCCCCAACCCAACAAGTATTCAGTTTTGGCCATGTAGGTTGTGTGCCAAGTTCAGTGCAAATCCATTGTAGGCTGGATTCAGAGTGTTCTTTGATTGTAGGTTAACTATAAATCCAAGCAATTACAGCTCCCAAATGTCAAGGTCTATTTTCCCCAAACTCCACCAGTGTTCACATTTGGGCATATTGAGTATTCATGCCTAGTTTGGCCCAGAACCTTCTTAATGCCACAACCCCTTAATAAAATTCCTCATGTTGTGGTTACTCCCAACCATAGAATTATTTTTGTTGCTACTGTTCATTACTGTCATTTACTGTTATGAATCGTAATGTAAATATTTAATATAAAATTGTACTTTCATGTACTTTCATTCACTGGACCAAAATTGGCACAAATACCCAATACACCCAAATTTGAATATTGGTGGGGTTGGGGGGATTCATTTTGTATTTGGGAGTTGTAGTTGCTGGGATTTATAGTTCACCTACAATCAAAGAGCCATCTGAACTCCACCAACAATGGAATTGGGCCAAACATGGCACACAGAACCCCCATGAGCAACAGAAAATACTGGAAGGGTTTGGTGGGTAGCTCACCTACATCCAGGGAGCACTGTGGACTCAAACAATGATAGATCTGGACCAAACTTGGCATGAACAATCAATATGCCCAAATGTTAACACTGGTGGAGTTTGGGGAAAATAGACCTTGACATTTGGGCCAAACTTCCCATACAGAATCTCTATGCCTTTAAGAGACTCAGTGGAAGAAGCTTCCCTCCAACCTTGCACGCTCTCCCTTGCCTGCACATACGCACCACACTGCCTGCTCTCCCTGCCTGGAGTCTCAGAAACAACTTTCCCCTGGCTGAGAGTCTGGTCAATCACATTGGAGGAGGGCTTTTGATGGGAGGATTTGCCATCTGTTTCCAAAAAAAGGAAGAGAAGGACCAGCGGAGAGATCTTCAGCTTTCTCTGCCAAAGGGATTCCTAAGCCCATCAGAAATTTGTTTTCTGATGGTCTTTGGCGACTCCTCTGAAACCCCCTCATGACCCCCCAGGGATCCTGACCCCCAGGTTAACAAACACTGTTCTAGCAGATAATATGGGGGAAAGGAGATGTTTTTGCCGCACCTTCTGTATTTACACTGTTGTCAGGAAGTAAAGGGGTTACAGTTAACAGTGGTGTGTGTGTTTGTGCTTCTAATCCAAGAATTACATGATACTCATCCTGGCATGAATAGTAAATCATTGGCAGATGTTTCTTTATGATAGAAGTTTCTTCTTATCCATGGTCCTCACGAAATATTGCTAATGCTCCTGTTTGTGCAGGCAGTGTTAAGTGTGTAAATCCCTCCCTGAGTCCCAGGCCTGGGCAAGAATGGTAAACTGACGCATTCTCTGCTACCACTCATTCCTTTCGGTATCTAAAGGTCTGGTTCTGTTCTCTTCCCGACACTAATTGGAATGCAATTTCTCCCCATCTGGTAGAAATTAGAGTGGCAAAAAGGGAGGTTAAAAATAGCAAGCAATTCAGAGAAAAAAGGAAACTTTGTCTTTGGGGTGAGATAGAAAGCCAATGTCCCAACCACTGTGCCCTTTGAAATAACTCATGTCATTACTCAATAATACGGGGTGTGGGCCATCTGTGTACGAGTCAACATGTTCCATCTACGCTGGTGTTTAAGATGCCCCGGCAGCTCTTTCATGCTTTTATGGCACTGAGCTGGCAGTCTGTCTGCCTGGAATGATTTTTCATTACAATGATGGTCTTAACTAATTCTGGAAGGATGCAAACTAGCCTCCAGTTGCAAGTGCTAATTAGAGGTGCGTCTGCGTTGTGGAATTAATGCAATTTGACAGTGTTTCAAACAACAAGACTCAATGGTATGGAATTCTGATGTTTGCAGCTTGGTGAGGCATCGGCACTCTTTGGCAAAGAAGGCTAAAGACCTTGTGAAACTGCAGCTCCCATGTGGCCATAGTGTTGAGCCATGGCAGTTAAAGTCATGTCAAAATGCATTAATTGTTCAGTGTAGATGCACCCTAGGAATGTATATACTAACATGGTTCTTCATTTCTGATCCTTCATCTATATCCTTCCACAAGTACCCAATACACCCAAATTTGAATACTGGTGGGGTTGGGGGGATTGATTTTGTCATTTGGGAGTTGTAGTTGATGGGATTTATAGTTAACTTACAATCAAAGAGCATTCTGAACTCCACCAATGATGGAATTGAAATCAGTTTGGCACACAGACCTCCCATGACCAACAGAAACTACTGGAAGGGTTTGATGGGCATTGACCTTGAGTTTTGGAGTTGTAGTTCATCTACATCCAGAGAGCACTGTGGACTCAAACCATGATGGATCTGGACCAAACTTGGCACAAATAATATACCCAAATGTGAACACTGGTGGAGTTTTATTTTGTTTTTTGGTGGGGGGGGGATAGACTTGACATTTGGGAGTTGTAGTTGCTGGGATTTATAGTTCACCTACAATCAAAGAGCATTCTGAACCCCACCAATGATAGAATTGGGCCAGATTTCCCACACAGAATCCCTATGACCAACAGAAAATACTGTGTTTTCTGATGATTTTGGCAACCACCTCTGACACCCCCTCGTGATCCCCCCAGTAGTTCTGACCCCCAGGTTGAGAAACACTACTATAATGTATTTGCACTCCATGGACTGAAAGGAGATTTCCAGGTAGAGCTAGGAAAGAATGTGGCCTGAAACCCTGGTTCCCAGACAGAGTGGACAATGGTGAACTAAATGGATAAGTGATCTGATTTGTGCCTTTCTAGAGTTATGTTGTATACAATCTTTTATATCCCACCTTTCATCAGGAAATTGAAAGCTGTCCCAAATATTGCTGTATCTCTCATTTCCTGGTGGGAAGAACATCTAATTTCCTATATAGTCTTAGAAGCTGTCAAAGATTTTTTAAAAAAAACATCATTGAGAGACTGTCCAACAGAGTCATTCAGTGGATAGATGATGTAGGAATGGGGTTTTGATGGAGAAAGGTTTTACTGGTGTGGTGTTAATTAGTAATAATAATAATAATAACAACAACAACAACAACAACAACAACACGATTCATTTCATGTCAAAAGTATTGCATAAATAAATAAGTTTTTTTTGTTGTGTCAGGAGCGACTTGAGAAACTGCAAGTATAAATAACTATAAAGCTGATTAAATAAAGGGAGCACAATCAGGTAAATAATTTTAGACCAAAAATGGGCAACAGCAACCTTACCTCTGAGGATGCTTGCCATAGATGCAGGCGAAACGTCAGGAGAAATGCCTCTAGAACATGGCTCTATAGCCCGAAAAAATCCACAAGAACCTAGCAACCGCATTGTCTGTAGCTTTAAACAATTCTACCTCTATGCATGGGGCAGAGCATTGTGGACAAGCGTATAGATACTGAGTTGTTTGTTCTGCTCCACAGTCACTCAAGGTGGAGGATTCTTCTAGGTAGTGCCATTTTGCTAGGTTGTCTTTTGACCTACCAACTCCACTTCAAAGTCTGTTCAGGGACTTCCAAGTTGCCTTTTCTTGGTTTCCCCCTGGAGGAAGACCCTTGTGGGGGGGGGGGGGCATCCAGTTGGAATTGCCTGAATTTGTTGCCCACGGGGATATTCTTACTGATGCTGGAGGAACATTTAGAGGAGTGGTGGTTCTCATGAAACTTTCCCTTAACTTAAGTCTACCGAGAGGAGGATAATAGCCATACAGTGGGTGGCTTGAGCCTAAAACTGAATGATCAGTGAGATTTCACTCACCATCTTATCTCCTTTTCTAGGTGGATCGGCCACTGTGAGCATCAATAGCCTATGCTATTCCAACCCCATTTCAACTCCTCTGACACAAACGTCGACTCTACTATCAACAGCTCATGGAACCAGGATGCCTTCTCTTCCGGCCGGCCACCACATGAGCTGCTATGGGAACGTCCCTCGCAGTCAACCCAGCGCATACAATGTGACACCTTCAAGGGTAAGCCCAGTCCCACAGAACAGGAACCCAAACCCAGTTGTATCTGGTCAGAACAGTCCTGCAGCCTCACAACAAGTCCCTCCTGGGCAAGGAAACAACTTACCGACATTTAATAGTGGTCCAGGGATCAACCCTCAGCAAGGGAAGCTTGGCTTGAGCCAGGGGACCACCACACAAAGACCTGCAAACGTGATGGTCTCCTCGAATTCCGCATCTCAGAACTGGGTTTCTCCAGAAACAGGAGCAAAGCAACAAGAAACACGAAAGGCCATGGGTTCCCCTTTCCCAACAGGGAGCCCATATACAAGCCAGCAAATGCAACGCACAGCTGCTCACCAGCAATTCTCCCAGCGTGCCATGGTGCCTGCTTCCCAATTGGCCACTGCCCAGATGAGGACACCTGTGAGCCAAATGAACCAGACTCTCAATGGACAAGTGGCTGGGTCACCGAAAGCCCAGAATGCAAGGTCTAACCAGGTACGGGCACAGGCCATGCCACACTTAAATCCAGCTGGGGTTGGCATGGCATCTCCACCACACACCTTGCCATCCAATCATTTCTCATCCTCTGCCAATCCAACACCTGCCAGGTCTTATCAAGGAACTGATCATGCTAGCGACCTAGCGTTTGACTTTCTGAACCAGCACGGAGATAACATTGGGCCAGCACTCAACAGTGATCCGGACTTCATTGATTCTTTGTTGAAAACAGAACCTGGTAATGACGACTGGATGAAGGACATCAATCTTGATGAAATATTAGGTGGCCATTCCTGAGACAAAGCAGTTGACAATCACAAACACATGGTGTTTATTTACAGTCATTACATATGTTTGCCCCAAAAACTTTGATATCACACTGTAATGTTTATTATAGACATGAGTCCCCTTCGGAGTTGAGAAAAGGGCGGTATACAACTATCACAAATAATAATAGGCGAAAAGAAGGTATCCACTGGATTGGATCCAGGCTTAGTTGTGACTGATGTCGGTCAGTCTCCCTTAGTATATTACTAAACCTGGATTAGGGTTGTAAAGAACAATTGCAAATTTTCTCATCCTCATTAAGAAAAGGTTTCTCGACACAATAAGACACTCCATTGGGATGGCTGCAAGATTTTATTCACATTTCAGTACTTTTGTGGAAATTTCATTTGCACAAGAAAACCTTTGTTTTTGTGTAAAACGAAACCCCAATTTTTTTTGTTGGGATTCTGTGTAGTTCTCCGCAAAAAGTCCCCTAAAGCAAAAAATATTGGAAAATGTCCATAATCTCACTTCATGAGGAGAAAATATTTGAAACTCTTTCTTCATTCATGCAAGGATGAAATAATCAAGGATTTACATCTCTAGTGTGGATCCAATCCTCCGTTTTCTGAATGATCAGAGGGGCTGTTAGTGGTTTGCCCTGGGAAATCATGCAAACCATTATTATATTTACCTAAGCACAAAACTACTTTTTCAATCTAAATTAATATTTACATCCATAGATCTAAGTGGAAATAGCAATGTCCATGACATCAGATATATTATATATACTCATGTATGAGTCAAGGGAAGGTTTTGGATTTTGATATTATACATGGATACATCTAGGGAAATTCCATGGAGAGGGAAAAGCACCAGCACTGTTTTGGGGGCCACCATTTTTCCATGCCGGCTTTCAAAAAAAGGCCAAAAGCAGTGCTGTGATGGAGAGCTTAGACAGTGATTCTCAACCTTTGGGTCCCCAGATGTTTTGGATTTCAACTCCCAGAAATCCTAACAGCTGGTAAACTGGCTGGGATGTCTGAGAGTTGTAGGCCAATACCCCTGGGGACCCACAGATTGAGAACCACTGGCTTAGAGAGATCGGTGTTCCAGGATGGACTAAGCTCTTTCCTTTTGCTAGGGGAGGGTTTCTTTTTGTTGCAAGAGTTAAGGCACAGAACTTAATGGATAAGGTCAACTTTTGGACTTATTTTGTTCACTTATACATGAATGTATACAATATATCTGCTCATAGCTGGAGAAAGCAAGGACACATGTACATACAGAGACATATCTGGAGCAGTGAAGGAGGAAAACAGAACATTCAGCCAGAAACTCCTTCAGAGTTATCATAGTAATCACCAGATATGGGTAAAAAAAACTGTTGCTCTATGATAGGGTTTTCATCTTAAAGGTGCCAGGTTCTTCTGCTATCCTCCAGGTAGAACTGAGAAAGATCCCTGCCTGAAACCTTGGTAAGCCACAATCAATCAGTCTTGGTCAGGGATGGAGAACTTGTGGTGCTCCAAAGATTTGGGGTTGCAATTCCTATCAGACCTAGCCATTGTAGCTGGTATATTGAGGAATCAAGGGAGCACCAGTGCAACAATTTCAGCAGGGCCATGCCTTCTGAATTCCTGGTCTAGACCAGTTGGATGGATCAATGGGCTGACTCAGTACAAAACAGTATCTAGATCAGATAATCCAAAATGCAATGCCTTCATTCTAGGGCAGTGGTTCTCAACCTGTGGGTCCCCTGATGTTTTGGCCTTCAACTCCCAGAAATCCTAACAGCTGGTAAACTGGCTGGGGTTTCTGGGAGTTGTAGGCCAAAAACATCTGGGGACCCACAGGTTGAGAACCACTGTTCTAGGGAGTTGTTTATCATACAGCTTTACTGCTATCTCATCTCTTCCTAAGTCTTATCCTTATAGCAGTGGTTCTCAACCTGTGGGTCCCCAGGTGTTTTGGCCTACAACTCCCAGAAATCCCAGCCAGTTTACCAGCTGTTAGGATTTGTGAGAATTGAAGGCCAAAATATCTGGGGACCCACAGGTTGAGAATCACTACCTTATAGGATAATGCCATTCTTTAAGCACTAGAAACCTTCAGCTGAAGACCTGAAAAGTCAATTCCAGGAAGATAAGCATTCCGCCATCTCACACCTCAAATGTCATCCATCTTCAACATTGTTTTTCGTGCCCATAATTTCCTGCCACAAGACCCTGCTGGTTCCTAAACCGTTTTTGTGTCCTATTTGCCCATTTGCTGAGCTCATCAGGCTTAAGGCAGTGCTTTCAACATTTCATTGTATGCTGCCAAAAGATCCTTTGACAGAGGAGAGAATATAAATATATATTACTTAATTATTGGGATACATTATGGATTCATTTAAGTCTTTCAGCTTAGTGCAGCTTCTATCAGGGATATTTCAGTATCTCGCATGCAGAGATGGAGAAATTGAAATATTTGCATCCATACTGATTGGAAACTTCTAGGAGTTGATGTCCAAAGGAAGAAACTTCCCCAAGCTGTGTTTAAGTTGGTGGGAGGGTGCGGTTAAAGAAACATAGGCTGGAATGCTCTATATTGCATAAGTTTACATATACTTAGCTGTGTAGCAGAGGTGATAAGGAACCCTGTTAATGAATTGTGAAGATGCCCAAGACTGCCCCAATGGATATTAAGTTGCAATGTGCATCAAGCCTCAATTTGCAATGGTCAGATTGTTGACTTCCCTACAGAATAACGCAACAGCAGCTCCTAGCTGAATATACAGACATTGCAAAACTGCTCAGTTCTCTATCTTACAGATGTTAAGCCTACTTACAAAAAGTGAGTCCCAAAATGAATCCTTGCCATAGGTCTCCATCCTCTTCTTCAAGGACATAGAAGTGCTAGGCACCATGGTATCTTAACATTTCTGATTTCCCAACATTTCATACTTCCAGTTCTTGGCACACACCCCATTTTTCAAACGCACACAATATCTTTGGAGCAGGTGAGTGTTTATTTCATGGCACCATGTACTAATAATAATGTGTTGGTTGTGTGTCCAAAACACAGCAAATCTAGGATGTATATGTATCTTTGGAAACGAAAAAAAATATTCATAATATTATGTGTCTTCTTTCTCTTTATTTTTTTCCTCTAAACCATTCTGGTTAAATGCACTGCCCTTATTTTTGCATTATTGAATCAGGAGCATTTCTCAGTATTGGCTTGTAAATATATATAAAAACCCTTTTTGTAAACTTTTGTACAAAAAATGTAATATTTTGGTAGGAATACTGGTATCATATTCTTTGGGTTATATTTATACGTATGTGAAATAAAAATGTACTGTCCAAACTTTGTATTTTGTATAGCCAAGGAACAAAAAAAAATTGCTTACGTTTTGTATCTCAATATATGAGGTTCTTGTTGAGGATTATATTTATCTGGTATTGTTTTCATTGAGTCTTAACACTTCAGCAACAGCTTATAATGTGGGAGAGAAACTCATCAATATAAATAAAAATGTAATGTTCATTTGTGGGATGAACAGAACTCAAAAACCACTGGACAAATTGACACCAAATTTGGACACGATACACCTAACAACCCAATGTATGTTCTTCACTCAAAAAATTGATTTTGTCATTTGGAAGTTGTAGTTTCTGGGATTTCTAGTTCACCTACAATCAAAGAGCATTCTGAACCCCACCAACGATGAAATTGAACCAAACTTGGCACACAGAACCCCCATGACCAACAGAAAATACTGGTTTCTGTGGTCTTTGGCAATCCTTCTGACACCCCCTCGTGAACCCCCCCCCTCCCAGGGGTCCCAACCTCCAGGTTGAGAAATACTGCCTTAAGACCATCTCAGTCCAACTCCCTTCACCAGGCAAGAAAACTAATCAAAGCCCTCCTGACAAAGAGCCATCCAGCCATAGATATCATAGATAGATATATATGATTCACACACACAGAGAGATAGTATCATAGATTTGAAAGGACCTAAAGAAGGACAATGATATGTTGCATGTTCCAGAGTAGGCAAACCAGACAATCTCCACATCAACACTGACAAAGAAACAACAAGAAATACTTTTAACCCACAAGCACATAGACATTACATATATTAGAAACCAACACTTTCTCATAACTTTGTTTTCCAGATCATCAAACTGGGCCACAGCAACACCTGGCAGGGGATGGCTAGTCCCCTATAAATTTGTACTAATGCTTCAACTGCTAATTTTGCAAAAATTACCACTGATATTGCTGACCCCCCCCCCCCCCCCTGTTTGGGGGCATTAGAATCATAGAATCATAGAGTTGGAAGAGACCTCATGGGCCATCCAGTCCAACCCCTGCCAAGAAGCAGGAATATTGCATTCAAATCACCCCTGACAGATGGCCATCCAGCCTCTGTTTAAAAGCTTCCAAAGAAGGAGCCTCCACCACACTCCGGGGGCAGAGAGTTCCACTGCTGAACGGCTCTCACAGTCAGGAAGTTCTTTCTCATGTTCAGATGGAATCTCCTCTCTTGTAGTTTGAAGCCATTGTTCCGCGTCCTAGTCTCCAAGGAAGCAGAAAACAAGCTTGCTCCCTCCTCCCTGTGGCTTCCTCTCACATATTTATACATGGCTATCATAATCTCCTCTCAGCCTTCTCTTCTTCAGGCTAAACATGCCCAGCTCCTTAAGCCGCTCCTCATAGGGCTTGTTCTCCAGACCCTTGATCATTTTAGTCGCCCTCCTCTGGACACATTCCAGCTTGTCAATATCTCTCTTGAACTGTGGTGCCCAGAATTGGACACAATATTCCAGATGTGGTCTAACCAAAGCAGAATAGAGGGGTAGCATTACTTCCCTAGATCTAGACACTATGCTCCTATTGATGCAGGCCAAAATCCCATTGGCTTTTTTTGCCGCCACCTCACATTGTTGGCTCATGTTTAACTTGTTGTCCACGAGGACTCCAAGATCTTTTTCACACGTACTGCTCTCGAGCCAGGCGTCCCCCATTCTGTATCTTTGCATTTCATTTTTTCTGCCAAAGTGGAGTATCTTGCATTTGTCACTGTTGAACTTCATTTTGTTAGTTTT